TAACGGTGCTCTGTTAATCTGAATTGTATTGCCACGCATGAATTCTCGGGGACAGTGAATTGACAGGCCAAGTACCAACAATTTTCTGCCAGAATTTTCTGCCTTTATCATCCTCCAGAAGTGGGCTCCCTTTTTCTCCCTTAAAATACAACCTAGCTTTAGGAATACCATCAAACCCAAGTAGCTTTTCAATCCTCTGTTTTTTTCTCTTACTGACAAAAAAGTGAAACCATTCATTTCTCTGTTCCATGAGAACTGCGCGTATAATTATATCAAATGAAATGCGGAACTTGTCTACTTGCTTCCAGCCTACAACGCTAAATCCCTGCGGTGTAACTTTGCAATTGTAAAGGTTCTGAGCACGTTCAATGCCAGAAGGTTTTCCTCAGTCTTGCTACCAGTAATTATGCTATTTTGGCTGCGAACGACCGGCACAGCAACAGCCGCCAAATCTCAAGATTTTTCATGATTTCGCGGGATTCGGGTTTTTCTGCCGGCATCCCGGGACAGAAACCGTCGTCAGGCCACAACGCCTCGAAACCGCGGTAATCCCGTCGCTCTCTGTGGCCGCCGCTACAGCTGTTGGTTATCCAGCAGCAAAAGCCTTGCCAATGGAAAGACACTCAATTCAGAATGATAAAAAGCAATGTCCTTCCTCCCGCAGGCCCACAACGGGGCGGGTTACGGCGCGGCGGCGACAACGACGGCGACGACGCAGAAGGCGGTCAACGTGCCTGGCATCGTGGCAGGCGTGGTGTGCGGGCTACTGCTGGTGGGCGCAGGCGTGGCTGCCTTCCTCTACAGGGACGCCCTGAGGAACCTGGTGGCCAAAAGGACCAGGAAAAGGTGACTTTCGTCTCGTTGTCGCAAGCTCTCCTGGATTTCCGTCTCAGATCATCAGCATGATCCTTATTCTTACATTATGGTTATTAGTACACTTGTTATAACTATTCTCATTGTTATTGTAATCTTCATCATCATAATCACCATCATCATTATTATTATTATTACTATTATCATTTTTATTAGTAGTAGTATTGATGATATTATTACTCTTACCATTAGTAGTAGTAGTAGTGGCGAGTGATTAGAAGGCTCTGTTTCTCTTTTTGAGTCTCCGTTTCAAATCCAGAATAAACCTTTACTTTGAATTATCCTCTTTCGAATCTTCGTTGGTAATTTCCTCTGATTTCGATTTCATTCTTTCGAGACCTCCGTTCCGGCCTTCGGGTGTGACTCCACCGTTCGTCGCCAATATTTTTTTGTCTGTCTGTTTCTTTTTTCATGGTAACTTGTAACCCAATATTATCCAAACGTAAGAAGTCGTGATTAAGGGACATCCACTAGTCTTTGTATTTATTAAACAGCAACTTCAGTCTCTTCCCTTCCACTGTCCTAATCAAGGTGTTGCCAAAATGAAAAAAAGACGAAAATAACGAAAATTCGACCATAAAAACTGCACATTTATATGAATAATCGGCTAGTGGCACTTAACACCCCCTCTTCTCTGTTGTCTTTCTTTCCTCTTACTATCTTGGCCCTTATGTGTATAATTTAGTTCACCGATATCTGACACGACACCGAAAGAGGACCCTGCTGCAGAAACGGTCACCTTCGGACGCTATGAAAAAAACGTTACCGGAAGATCGCCAGAAGCCTGGAGACCACGATGTTCGTCAGAGCAGGCATCAAGCCGCCCCAAGATGTGGAAGGGCGCCGCCTGCCAGGACAGGATCCAGCGAAGTACCAGGAACTCGCCAGCGCAGGTACCAGTCGCCCCATGATGCTGTGACTGGCGCCGCCTGCCTGAACGCCGCAGATCCAGTCAAAGGATGAAGATGACGATAAAGACGAGCAGCCACGAAGATGCACCAGGGAGAACTAGAACGAAGTGACTAGCAAGTCAGGACCAGCCAAGTTGACTCACCCTTGAGGCAAATCTAAGGCGTTAGCAGCTGGCCGAGCAATATACCGTGTACATAATCACGTATAGGCCGCGTGGCTGATCGCTGGCCAGTGGCGTACCCATGCCTCGTACCCAAGCCGTGTTCCAGTATAAATGGCCAAGGATTACCCGGAGCCTCCGGGCTAGTACAATGGTAACGTGTCGGCCTCTCATCCGAGGGGTCGGCGGTTCGCGCCCCGCCCAGGCGCGAGAAGTTGCAATTGTCCCCTGGAGGTCACTGCTGTGGCTGGGCATCACGGTGGGTAAGGACTAAGCTCATCCGAGTCAGCACCTGCTGACACACTGTTAGCGAGTTGACAATAGTCGGCACAGGCCGGGCTCCCCCATAGCCCGGGCGAGGCTCAGCTTCGCATATCGGACTTATCCTTATCCGGGTCAGAGCAGAGTCAGTGCCCATCGCTTGTCAAGATAGGCCACCCTCGGCCTACGTCTTGAGGGCGGGAGGGCTCAGGTCACTTCCGCCCCGCAGGGCTGACCGCCGACCTTCACGCACTCCGCGCTTCCCCAGAATTGTCTAGTGTGTTGCCATATCCG